ACCCTTTGTCGAGCTTCACTGTTTTTCACATTTGAGAGATTGTCTGTTTCATGTCAGTGAAGTATTTTAAGGGTGGAATCGGTGTAATTGTTGAAATAAGTGATTTTGGTAGCATAATCGGTGGTGGAGATTGTCAATCAAAGGAGTAATTCAACAGATCGGGTTTGGAAGATGAGGGCCATGATTCCGAGTGATATCGTATGAGGGTGGTCAGGTTGGGATTTTGGAGGTCAGCAGAGGGCATTTGCATGCAGAGGCGAAAAGGTTCAGACGAGTGTGGTGGTGAATCGGTGGTAGCCGGCCGGTGAAGCTTGAGGGTATGTGCGTATGAGGGAAGGGAGATTAGATGTCACCATGTCTGAGGTGCAGATTGTGGAAGCCAAAAGGTTTGACTATATTACCCTAGATGTGTGATTTGTATATACCTAGGTTATATGTAGTATGTTTTGGGCTGGGGTTAAATGGTGGGCTTCTCAAATGGGTTAAACGATATTTAATATATACGGAGTAATTTAAGGTATAATTTAGGTTGTTGAAAAAATATCTTTGGACAAAAAAGTTTAAACAAGGTAGTAATTTATCCTATATTAAAGAAAGTAGTAATTTGTCCTTGAACTAAGATAGAATATGTGGGAAAAAACTATAGTTGTCGGTGAAATAAATTTCAAAAAAGTGTGGACAAACATGTGACTTTTTATCCCAAAGTTTGCCCAGTCGAGGAAAATAATAAATTCTCAAAAGGACAGATGCTTAAAATAGTACGCAATGAATAGATCCACGGATATTGCAGATCTAGGGTTTGAAACTTGATTTTCGTTTAAAATAGATTTGGGTTGTTTATGCAAGTAAAGAAGCGTGTTCGAAAGGTGGTGCGGTTTGGTATGAAGAACGTTACCGATGTCGGGTGACGTTGAATGACAGAATAAATCGGTTCCGTCGGTTTTGGTTATGGTTGGAGGCGATGTGTGTGGCCGGACAGTAGCATGACAGGTCGGTTCCGTCGAATGCTTTCGTCGTTGCTGCGATCGACTTCCAGTATAGGATGCCTTCCGTCGATTGAATTGATTTATGACCGTTGCCTGAATACATTGCCTGCGTATCCGTATGGAGTTGGGTCTGCGAGAGTTCTTGGTTGGAGAGAGGGCTGAGCCGATTGGGGTTGCTGTCTAGCTGGAAAAATAGGAAGGTTGTTCCTTCTACGAAGGCCTCAAATTTTTATTAAGATGAGTTGTTTTTCTGCGCTTCACACTCATTTTCAATGGGCTGCTCATTCCAGGCCCATTTAAATGGATGGATCGGATATATCAAAATACTCACAAATGTGTTACTTATGCACTCTGTAATTGTTTTAAGAAAAATACTCCATAATGTGTTACTTAGATTATAAATTTATCATAGATTGTAATTGATTGAATAATGAGTTCAGCCAATGTTAAATTTGACAAAGTCTTGAAGAGACAGAATTGGTGGAATTTACAGAATTATAAAAATACATATAAATATATTTTGTTAATAAAATAATTTAATAATAAGAGATTTTTCAAATAATTGTAATTTATACATTTCTAGGGGAATAGATTAACAAGAAAGATTGTGGTGGTAAGATGTTTTCATGGCAAGTCATCCGCGCATATATTGTGTCATTATAAAAGATATAAAATGATACTAAATTTGTAGGGTAAAAACAATTTCTATTTCATTTTCCTTTCATTTCGAGAAGGTGCAATTTCTCTAAAGAAGAATGAAGTTAAATAATTTTGGGGTTGAATTTTGTTATGGTGAATTTAGATCAAAAAAATTGAAAGACATAAAAAAGTATTTTGACCATAGTAACTATGCTTAACATGTCACATTTTCATAAACAACCTTTATTTTAATCGTATTTATGTAATCATTTAAAAAAGTTACATACACATATACATAAAAACATTATATGTATAAATACTTATTTGAAGATTTTCTCCTAAATTTATATTTAAGTATAGTTTAGGAAAGACATAACACATTTTCACATATCTGCACACCCCCTGATTTGCCATGTTACATCAGCAATTCGTCTTAATAATGTAATTCGTATAGATAAAGACATAACACATTTTCACATATCTGCACACCCCCTGATTTGCCAGGTTACATCAGCAATTCGTCTAAATAATGCAATTCGTATAGATAAAGACATAACACATTTTCACATATCTGCACCCCCTGATTTGCTAGGTTACATCAACAATTCGTCTAAATAATGCAATTCGTATAAATAAAGACTTAACACATCTTCACATACCCCCCCCCCAATTTGCCAGGTTACATCAGCAATTCGTCTAAATAATGCATTTCGTATAGATAGACAACACATTTTCACATATATGCTCACCCCCTGATTTGCCAGGTTACATCAGCAATTCGTCTAAATAATGCAATTCGTATAGATAAAGACATAACACATTTTCACATATCTGCACCCCCTGATTTGCCAGATTACATCAACAATTCGTCTAAATAATGCAATTCGTATAAATAAAGACTTAACACATTTTCACATATCTGCACACCCCCCCCCCCCCCCCCCCGATTTGCCAGGTTACATCAGCAATTCATCTAAATAATGCATTTCGTATAGATAGACAACTCATTTTCACATATATGCTCACCCCCTGATTTGCCAGGTTACATCAGCAATTCGTCTAAATGATACAATTCGTATAAATAAAGACTTCACACATTTCACATATCTGCACCCCCCCCTCCCCCGATTTGCCAGGTTACATCAACAATTTGTCTAAATAACGCATTTCGTATAGATGTAATGTCACCATATTATTTAGTAAGTACAACATTTTATACCTTCAGTTAACATAAATAGACCTTTGATTTGAAAATGAAAAAAATCTTTGTCAAAAAATTACTTGAATGAAGGATTGTAATAAGGGAAAATTTTCGAATATGAGTAAATAAGTTTGAGAATCCAGAATAAGATTGTCATGTTTTTTATTGCCAAAATAGTCATAATTAATGTCAAACTTGAAAAATATTGTCATGCTTAAGGTCCAATTTTGGAATACATAAAACTTTTTGTCCTATTTATTGTAATTTTCCTTTTATCAAGGATTAATGCTAGACAGAATGTACAAAGAAGTGTTTCATAAAATTTGCCATGGAATGTAATTTGTTTTCAAATGATGTTTATATTGCATATTACTTACTTTTTTGTGGGCTATAAAAAATAATGTACCACTCTGTAATCATTAGTAAATTATATTTATATGTTTCATTTACGTCAAGTTTTATTATTATATGGAGTATAATTCTAAACAATTCAATTAAAATTATAAGTTTGTTTATTTTTTAATTAAAATGTTGGCTAATGTAATTTATACCCGCGGAATTTCACCAATCGTGCATCACACGGGTACTGATGAAGAAGAAGGAACCACTGAACAAGACTCGGAATTTTGTATTAAAAAAGTGTTCAACAATGTTTAGGGTTACATGAAATGTATATTTTCAATGTTATGCTTTCTAAGTATTTGTTGGATGTTTTTGATCTTTTAAGTAATGCTTAGTTCTCTCTTTTTAACTATAATATATATTCTAAATGTGTTTTGTTTATTGCTTGAAGTTATATCAATATTCCATGGAGATAGATGCTCTCATCAATTGATAGTGTAATTTGAATTAATGAACACAAACAAATTTGAAGGAAAATTCTTAGACCGTGCATCGCACGGGTGAGATTACTAGTTAATCAAACATCTAAAATTGAATAATACTTAAATATTTTAATATTTTAAAATAAGAAAATTATAAGTTCATGATTGGTTAATCTATTTTTTCACATTTCGGGTCGATAAAATTCAAAGGTGAAAGGTAACCCAACCACATTTTGGCTGAAGTTACTGTAGATGACAATTTAAGCTATTTTTACATATAATATTTTCTTTGTTTTATTAATAAATATATTTCAATTTTTTTTCTTAAATCAGCAGAATCAACCATTGCAACCACTTCAACCAGAACTTCATAAATTTCAACAGAATCAGCCAAATGAGCCGATTTTCGTGCTACCAAACGGGTTCAAAGTTTCGTAACAAAATACTACATCAAAATACTACACCAAATGGGTTCAAAGTTTCGTAACAAAGTACCTAAAACAACTTCCACTTTACTTATTTGGATATCCATAATTTAACTTCTCATTTCCTTAAATGGAAAGTTCTACATCAAAATAGTGTCAAACAGTGTCGAAACAGTGCCAAAACAGTAAAATTTACCCCTGGTAAGTTTATTTCCTTAATATGTGTGAAAGCCCGACCGGGAAGTTGTTTCGGGGCATGGAAGGACTGAAGGGGTAAGTAAATTACTCCCTCCGCCCCCAATTATGTTCTGTGTTTGACTTCACAAGTTTTAAGAAAATAAATTTAAATTTATTGTAGAGTGCAATGTTTGGCACTGTTTAGACACTGTTTGGCACCGTTTAAACACCGTTTAGCACTGTTTGACATTGTTTTTATGTAGATTATTTGACAAATAAGAAAAGTATTGAAGAATGAACTTAATTTAAGGACTGCTCAAAAAGGAAAGTGAGAATTTAATTGGGGGACAGGAGTATAATTTTTCATAAATAAAATTAAATTTAAGTATAGAAACATTACCCGATTGACCGATTCCATCAAGTTTATGTTTTTCTTCAGCCCTGTCTCTCATATTCCGTCAAATTCCATCTCTAGTCTTCGCCGCTTCCACTTCTGACCGTAGTATACAGACTCATAGCACTCAGCCCTTTGCCCGTATCCCTCTGTAGCCGCACTTGCCAACAGAAGAAACGGTGGGAAGTCAAATGAAGCGCAGGCCGGCAGCCGTAGAACGGTGGAAGTGAACGGCGACGCGACGCTGCTATCCACCAAGCCTGATAAGACTAAGAGAATTGCGTTTTTTATTTCCAAACTGGCGAACCCGCAAGCATCAACTTCAAGCGGTCAGTCGTGGCCAATGGCTGCCGGCTCTCTACTGCTCCTCTTCCTAATTGTCGCTCATGTCATTGCTCTGGTACCCCAATCCAGTACAACACGCGCTCTCCTTCACACCGTTTTTTCTTACTTTCGTTTAATGATTTTCCCTGTGTTTCCTTTAATGCAGGTTTACTGGATTTTTCGCCTTGCAACTGAGAAGCAACCTCAAAGAACTAAGAGAAACTAGTTCTCCACATTTCTCGGTAATTGAGAAGCTACCCTGTTTTCCACATTTCATTGCAACCCTTACTGTAAAACGGAAAAAATGTTGATATTTTGCTCTATCCATTGCTTTCTTAATTTTGGGTTGTAGTTGAATTGCAATGCCACAAAAGCATTTGTTGTAATATACACTATCCACTAATAGTGGACAAATTGGAATATTTCCCAATCACACACCTATTGCCACAACTGCAGATATTGGTATTGTGGGGCAGTTGATTCAGCAATTTCTAGTCTTCATGTATCTGGTGTTTAAAAAATGAAAATTCTACAAAATTTTTATGGTTTTAATTTCAATAAAAAGAACTGGCTCAAATCAGAAATAAAGCACTAGACTCATAGAATAGACCAAGTTGTTTATGCAAGTGCACCCCCCCCCCCCCCCCGTTGGGGGCTTGGGGCAATGGTTAGTGGCTACCAAGGAATGACATTCCTTGAGGGAGCTTAAAATACTTTGATATGAAATAGATGTTAAAAGACTCATGTAGCCCACTAGCCCTTTGATATAGAAACTCTATTCACAGAGATGTATACCTTGAGGGAGCATAAAGAAATGGGTTTATTTTACTAAACTTGATACATAGTACGGAGTATTAATTAGTAACACAATAGTTCAAGTATGCAGAATGTTACGATTCTTTGCCTGTTTGAATGACTGTGTCACCCTAAACTTGTTAAAAATAGGGAAATTGTGTTATCTTATTTGTTGGGGGTCTCATGGCATGCTTTTTACTTCATGTGAATTTGATAGACTATTTAAAACAGCATCACACTCAAATGCACATTGCCACATTCTTTGGTCAATAAGTTGCTTAACATAAGATTTGACAATGTGAGGCTCAGACTAATGCATGTCTGAGACTTATCAACAAGTGGATCACTGGAAGAAGGAAATGACCTACAGTAAAAAACTTGGATGTTATTGTTAGTTAGCAATATAAAAACTTGTAAGGTTTATTTAGATATGTTCGACAGAGAATATTCAAAATATGTTTACAATTTTAGCTACAAACTAGGTACTAAATAATTATAACTAATTTAGTCAAATTAACTCATAGATCTACTATTACATTTTGATTTCAACAGGAAACAGTAATAGTTATGATGTCTTTCCTTTACTGTGCTCAAGACACACAAAGAACTTTTCCTTCCCTGGGATTCTGTTCCTTAGAATGCATCATATTACCCAATTTACTTAACAGGAAAATGCATGCATGAATAGATTTGGGAAGTGAAAGTATTCACACACTTTACTGTTTGTCACAAGTGTATGATTTCTTTTAATGTGTGAATCAGGTTTATCAATGTTGATATGTAGGGATTTGTCTGGAAACAAATTGAGTGGTCAACTATATGCTTCAGTGAGGAATCTCTCCTTATTTTTTACATCGTATGTGTTTGTACTCTTTATCTGATAATTACTATCATTTGTTTGAATACAAAGTGATATTTAAACTAATGGTGTAAAATAATTAAAACGTTATTATAAATAAAAGTTAAAAATTATGTAGTATAATAATTTGATTCTCATATAATTTGAAACTATACTCTTACATAAATGTCTAATTTTTTTAAACCAATACTCCGTTTTGTATTAATTTACATTTGAATAATCAATGCTATATTGAAGTTAGTGTGTGTGTATGATTAGTAAGTATTCATGAAATGATGAAATAGTTGTCTATAAAATATAGTACTGATACTGAGCTGGACACTGCCCCATGGTGAGCTGGGAGTGGATATAAGAAGCTCAAATCGATGTAAAGTAGGTTGAGTTGTGGATCTAGGGTCCCCAAGCCAGTTGAAGCTCCTATATTTTCGTTTTTTTGACATAACAATCACTGCTAACTTCTTTATCATATGGTTCATCTGGGAGTGGTTGAAACTTAGAATACCATGAACTGCCCACTGAAATTTTCTTATCACAAATCATCTCATATGCAGGGGAGAAGATTGCAAAACCATGAGCGCCTTTACTGCATTATCTAGTTTAGCCATACTTGGTGATTCCTGTAAGATTACGCGTACATCTAGACAAGAAATAAGACCGTTCTCTAGTACAACCACACAGAGAATTGAGGAAGATTATGGAGCAGCTCGCGCTGCCTGGGGAGCTGCGGCTGAAGCAATCAGACAAGACAGAATATGCAATGGTAGTTACTTTACTGCTGAAGATGTACAGTTTAGAGTCCATTTTTCCAAACCATTAATATGCACTGGGCTGATGTCAAATAACAAGGTTGGCAGTTTAACATTATCTCCTGTCGTGCCTCCGACTGAGTTATTATTGACATCGAAAGCAAAAGAAAAGAAGCTGGAGAAAACTTTTATGCCAGATTTGGTTGGATCAGACCAGTCTCAGCCGGAAAAAGTCACTGCCTCTGAAAAGAGCATTACCGAGGACAACCTTCGTGAGAGGTTGCCAGATGAAGGCATTTTAACTCAGAAAAAAGAAAGCAACTTTGCTGATTTGGTTGGATCAGATCAGTCTCAGCTGGAAAAAGTTAATGCCTCAGAAAAGAGCATTACCGAGGACAACCTTCGTGAGAGGTTGCCAGATGGAGGCATTCCAACTCAGAAAACAGAATGCAACTTTGCTGATTTGGTTGGATCAGACCAGTCTCAGCTGGAAAAAGTTACTGCCTCAGAAAAGATCATTACCAAGGACAACCTTCGTGAGAGGTTGGTTTCCATTTATGAGAAAGTTTTCATAGTCAACAACATCTCACTCGCCAAGGAAGTTGTCAGTAAGCTTACAAATGAGTACAGGGATTCAATCCACGCATGTGATACTGAGGCATGTGTGCTGCTTGTTTTGCATCAATTTTCCCCCCACACAATTATTATATGCAAAAAAGAGTTGTTGTTTTTGTAAATATACAAAATGTGCTGTGTCTGTGAAGTTGACTATGTTTTGTCCCACGTAAAAAACATAAAAAATATGCTAGTAACTATATCTGAGTTTATTCATCAGTTTGCTAACAATTAATAGGTAGCAAAGATTGATGTCAAGAATGAGACACCAGTTGGTCATGGAGAAATCATATGTTTCAGCATTTATTCTGGATCTCATGCTGATTTTGGAAATGGAAAATCTTGTGTCTGGATTGATGTCCTTGATGGTGGCGGGAAGGACATTTTAGTAGAATTTGCCCCCTTTTTCGAAGACCCGTCAATTAAAAAGGTAAAATATGTATAATCGGTAGCTCTCTCGGATTTCTTAAATGGTTCTGGTTGGCTAAAATGCTCTGCTTTCATTTTTTCCTCTTGGTTTTTATAGAAAACAGTATACTTTTAGTCTCATGACTATTAAGTTATTCCCACTTCTGGTCCCCTAGTTTCATTTATTTCACATTTGGTGCAAGAATATGAATTCTTATCACTTTTGGCCTTTCCGGTAAGGGCGGTAATCATTAGCAAAAAGTAACATAAAATTGTATGGAAATATGCTGGATATATGGTCAGAAGGAACAAAAGCTCAAGAATTTATAGTTTTGCACTGAAAGCCGAGAACATGGAAGCCGGTGGCCAAAAATGGGATTGACCATTTGGTCAAATAGTTGTACAACTATAAGTTGATTTTTTTAAATCTAAATGTAAGTAGGAATATCCTTTTACCTTATTTCACTGTTAGCACTTGCGTAGTTGTATGAAAAAATGACTCATGCTTTCCATAGGTATGGCACAACTATAGCTTTGATTGTCACATAATAGAGAACTATGGTCTCAAAGTGTCTGGGTTTTATGCTGATACAATGCACATGGCACGATTATGGGATTCCTCTAGACGAACAGGGGGAGGCTATTCTCTTGAGGCACTTACAAGTGATAAATCTGTCATGCGTGCTGCAAGTGTGCCGGTGCCCCCTGCTGAACAACTGTTTGGTAAGGTGTCAATGAAAACTATTTTTGGCAGGAAAAAGCTGAAGAAAGATGGAACTGAGGGTAAAGTTGATATCATCCCATCTGTTGAGGAGCTGCAAAGAGAGAATCACAAACTATGGGTTTCTTACTCTGCATTCGATGCTATAAGTACATTGATGCTTTATGATAGTTTGAAAACCAAACTCTCTAAAGGGGTCTGGAAGCTTGATGGAGTTTATAAAGGGACCATGCTAAACTTTTATGAGAGATACTGGCTTCCATTTGGTGAGCTTTTAGTTCATATGGAAACTGAGGGCGTGCTTGTTGATCGTTCTTATCTTGCTGAGTTGCAGAAAGTGGCCCAAGCCGAGCAGGAGATATCATCTATCAGATTTCGCAACTGGGCATCCAAGTACTGCCCTGATGCAAAATACATGAATGTGGGCAGTGATACTCAGTTGCGCCAGCTCTTTTTTGGAGGTATTCTGAATAGGTATGGGCCTTCATGAAAATAAATAAAACTGTTGATAACAGAGTATGTGACAGACCTGTTGGGTGATGTTATTTGGCTGAAATTGCTGAATATTCTGAAAGAAATAGTGTTCAGTAAAATCCATTTCAGCCAAATAATAAAGTTAAAAGCTCCAAGTATTATGCTTGACTTTTCTGATTATTATGCTGATGAGCAGCATAAGCTGAACGACGCTACCAAACAAGCTCTACACCTTCTATTCATTTTTTTCCCTTTAGGTGTTAATTAATTGATCTTGTATTAACTTCTCTTGGTTTTTTCCTTTTCTTCTTCTCTTGTCTTGTTCTCATCCCTTTCACATACAGGAAGGACCCTGATCAGACTCTTGACATTGAGAAGGATTTTAAAGTTCTGAATGCAGATAATATAATTGAAAAAGACAAGAAGGCTCCAACAAAGTATTGTAAGATCACACTTCGTAAGATTGGTGATGACATCGAGACAGATTTCTATACTGCTAGTGGTTGGCCATCTGTTAGTGGAGATGCTTTAAAGGCTCTTGCTGGTAAAGTTTCTGCTGATTTTCAAATCATGAGCGAAGCAGATGACAAAGAGGAGGAAGTGTTCTTTCCAAGCAGTGACGAATCTCCTGGGCTTCATGATGAAACATGTACGGAGCCAGAAGCTTCAGGGTATGGAACAGCTTATAATGCTTTTGGAGGTGGAAAAGAAGGCATAGAGGCATGTTATGCCATTGCCTCTTTATGTCAAATATGCTCCATTGACTCTCTAATATCAAACTTCATCATCCCTTTGCAGGTGATTTTCTGTGGTACTAATTTATCATTGTGCCAAGAGAAAAGGGGAAGTTTGCATCCCATGTTTACTTTGAATAGGACTTCACACCCCATTTTTGAATGCTTTTAGTTTGCACCCCAATGCCCCAGAAGTGGTTATTTTTAAGAAATTACCCAAAATAGGTGCAAGTATTGTCATACTTTCATACTGAGATCATATTTCCATTTTTCTAATGCCTGATAATACCATGATATTGCAAATTTGCAATATGATTTCAGGATGACAGTACTGTACTCCGATTGGGGGGGGCACATAGTCCTCGTATTTAGTGAAAACCCTTGCTTTTACTCCTATTTTGAGAAATTTGTACGGCGGTTGTACCTGATAATTAGATTAATGATTGACTTTGCAACCCATATATGATTCTATAAATTGAAGTGATTGATTCTTGGTGCTGTTTTCTCTCTTCAAGGGAGGGGCGGTTTCAGGAAAGGATGGACGCATCCATTGTTCACTGAACATAAATACAGAAACTGGGCGCTTGTCAGCTAGGAGACCAAATTTGCAGGTATTACATGCATCAGATTCCAATCTTATTGGATTACTGTTTCTATTATACAAAAGACCTCAGTGCGCATTTTGAATTTGATATATCCTGCACGAGTTTCCCGCAAATTTATGAAGTATGCCTTTTTGGGGGAGGGGAGAGGGCTCAACAACCATGCGTTGAGTTTCTGTTAACTCTTCAAAATGTTTTCCAACAAAATGCTACAATTTGCATCCCAGTAATCTCATCTCATAGTGTGAATTGGCAATACCAAAAAACACATTTCTCTTGGGAACCAATATCTGTTTCTACTTACGTAAGTACTAAATATATTTTCCTGTAACGCAGAACCAGCCAGCTTTGGAAAAAGACAGGTATAGAATCCGTCAAGCGTTTATAGCTTCACCTGGGAATTCCTTAATTGTTGCAGACTATGGGCAGGTAAGCAATCATTATGACTTTTAACTGTGTTTAATAGTACAAAATTGTATTATCCTTTTTGTTCCACAACTATTTACTTTTTCCTTCTGTTACCTAGTTGGAGCTTAGGATTCTTGCACATCTTGCAAATTGTAAGAGCATGTTAGCTGCCTTTGAGGCTGGGGGAGACTTCCATTCGAGAACAGCTTTAAATATGTATTCGCACATACAAGAAGCAGTTGAACAAAAACGTGTTCTACTTGAGTGGCACCCTCAGCCTGGTGAAGATATGCCACCAGTTCCACTACTAAAGGTTAGTGCAAAAAGTTTGGTTTTTCTTTTACTCTTTGAGGCATTTTCAATTCTTGTCTGTTCTATCTTCTATGATCTGCACTCCCTTGTTTTTGGCTGAGATAGAATGTACTGTATTGACATGATATGTGGATCCAAATCTCACACTTGCGTCCTTATTGTTGGAGATAAAATGTAGAATATTGTAGTGATATTGTGGCTGGAAAAAGAAAGTGGCAATACGCCAATACATGCTGTTGTGCTCACGATGTCCAAAAGCAGTCAGTTTCTAATATTTTTTTGATGAAAAAAGGCTCCCTTCATTTACTAAAACTAATTGTTTCGTTTAATATGGTAAATTGAGTTTAGCTGCACCAACATATAAATCTGATTCGTGATTTATGATAGTTGTACTGTACAAATATCATATGTACCATACCAAAATTAAAAAGTTATACATTGGTCAAATATGAGTCATATGACTTTATTTTGACGTAGTTAGCACTTAATAATGGTTATAATTTTTTAGAGGGATGGCCATCGAAAAGTATTTTAATAGGTTGTATTCTTTAGTGTGCATTTTTCAGGATTCTTGAATCTTGATAGTGGTAGCATTATGGTGATATTTACTAGTAGGGATAAGGGTCAGATAGGGGCTCGAACTTGAAAAAAAATGTCAAATAAGGTCATATTTATGATGCTCTGTCTGGCCGACGCCATTTGGGGCGGTTCCCGGTGGAATTTTTTAATGAATTTTTTTGAGAATCTTATTCATTAAGTCTAGTTTACTCATATCAAATTTGAACTAAAACTTTAATCGGGAAGGCATTCAAATGAATTCTTGAAGATAACTGTGCAGTTAAAAGCGCAGTTATCTTCAAGAATTCATTTGAATGTCTTCCCGATTGAATTGTTAGTTCAAATTTGATATGAGTAAACTAGACTTAATGAATAAGATTCTCAAAAAATTTCATCAAAAAATTCCACCGGGAACCGCCCCAAATGGCGTCATCCGGACATAGCATTCTAAATATGGCTTTATTTGACATTTCTTTCCAAGTTCGAGGCCCTATATGACCCTTATCCCTTACTAGTGTTATTATCATTATCATTATCATTATCATTATCATTATCATTATCATTATCATTATCATTATCATTATCATTATCATTATCATTATCATTATCATTATCATTATCATTATCATTATCATTATCATTATCATTATCATTATCATTATCATTATCATTATCATTATCATTATCATTATCATTATCATTATCATTATCATTATCATTATCATTATCATTATCATTATCACAATTGTCTCAGGATGCTTTTGCCTCTGAAAGAAGAAAAGCAAAGATGCTTAATTTTTCTATTGCTTATGGAAAAACTACTGTGGGGCTTGCTCGGGATTGGAAGGTATCCATCCATGCCTTCTTAATAGCACGAAGAGAGATGCATTTTCTACTTGATGTGGTTTGTGCAACTGGATTAACGCCAACAAAACATACACAGGTATCCGTCAAGGAAGCCAAAGAAACAGTAGATCGGTGGTATAGTGACAGGAAGGAAGTTTTAACTTGGCAAGAACAACGTAAATCTGAAGCACACCAGTTTAGACGTGTTTACACACTGTTAGGACGGACACGCTTGTTCCCTTCACTTAAAAATGCAACCAATGCTTTTAAAGGCCACATTGAACGAGCTGCCATCAATACTCCTGTCCAGGTTTTTGTGTTTGCCTTTTTTACCCTTCAGAAGGAGGGATGTGAGGGGAGGAGAAATGTTGAGGAAAATGATGTGCATATTATCAAAAAGTTGTGTTTGGATTACTGGAGTGATGAGGAATAATTTTTTTAGAAAAATTATTTGAAAATGGTATTTTATTTAATATCTATTAACATTAACAATACAGTAATCTTTTCTACATGCACCGTCTCTTTCTTGCTTCCACAGGGAAGTGCTGCAGATGTTGCAATGTGTGCCATGCTAGAAATATCAAAGAACCAACGGTTGAAGGAGCTTGGCTGGAAACTGCTTTTACAGGTTTCCATTACCCTTTAAATTAAAGAGAGCTCTTAGGGTTTGTTTGGAACACGGAACATGTCTGGAATATGTTAGTGAGGAAAAATTTAAAGAGAATTTAAATGGGACAAAAGAATTTATTTACAAAGTAATTTTTATTTATTTAGTGTCCTGTTATAAAGACAAAAAAATCTATATACGGTTATATGTAAAGTTTCAAAGAAGATTTTAATCAAATTATATTTTCTTCCTATTTCTAGCATAGGAGCCATTCTTACCATTTTTCTACTATTTTCCCCATTTCTTACCATTTTACTCTCAATGTAACATGATTGAATAGTTGCTATGTATAATCATCAATGTTTTATTACGCGAAGATTGATTCATCCAGATTATTAGAAACTTAAATTGCTTTCAAACCTATGTTTTGTGTTTGATGTTTTGCTTCAATAATGTGTGATTAGGTTCACGATGAAGTAATTCTTGAAGGGCCGACCGAATCAGCAGAGGAAGCAAAGGGTATTGTAGTTGATTGTATGTCCAAACCCTTCGATGGAAAGAATATTCTAAGAGTTGGACTATCTGTTGATGCTAAATGTGCTCAAAATTGGTATTCTGCCAAATAGTGTTGTTTTAGTCCAAATGCCCTTGCATTCAAGCACAGTAATATGAAAATGAGAATTCTATTGGTAATGTTAAATTTTATCACATCAAGTCAGTAGCACGTGGTTAATTAAATGTATATTAATGATATCATCTATTTTAAAATTAGCAAGTTATTGCTTACAATTAGTAATTATATAATCTAAGTTGCAAATTACAGTTATGTAAGAAAATGAACGTAGGTGGCGTAGTTTCTTAATTGCTTTAGTTAATCAAATATGGTGGTAAAGCGTTTACTAATTGATCAATATTTATTATTTATCAATCGAGTGGTTGTTAAGCGTTTATTTTTTGAACGTTTATTAATATCACATCCTTGTGTAGCAAGTCATAACTACCCATTCGTCGGCCTGAAGATCTTCAATCCTGGTCTGCAAATTTAATTCCGGTGAGCTTTTCTGCTGACTCGATTTCCAGGATCTCTTTCCAAATTGACTCATATGGACTATGGATAAGAATACATAGTTGTTTAGGAATGTTGGTAAGAGTTTTTTCCATTTTCGATCCTTCGACTTTTGCGTCATTGACACTTTTTGTTCTCGACTTATAATTTTTTCAATTTTAGTCCTCGAGTATTGTTTTAGGGACACTTTAAGTCCCGGACTTCAAAGGTTTCTACATTTAGTTCCCTGAGTATTATCAAATTGACATTTTTAGTCTTTCCACTAGTGGTGGACCAGTTCCGGGCCGACCGGCCCGTGGCCCGACACTGTTGAGAATTGGCCCGGACCGGTGGCCCGGCCAGAGACCGGTCTGTGTAGGCCTGGCCCGGGAGTTACACTGCGCGGGTTCGGGTCACCCAAAATAGGAACTGGTCGGGCTTGGTTCAGGCATTTTTTTTCATTTTTTTTTGTTTTTCCCGGGTTGGGCTGGGTGTTTCGTGGGGGTGAGGGGGCTTAATTAGAAAAGCAAAAAAAATAAGAAGCCTGGGGACCGGCCTGGGACCGGACCTGGTGAAAACCAGGGCGGTTCCGGGCCCGAAGCCAAACCCAAAAAGCCCGTCCAGGACCGGCCCGGGACCGGTCCATGTCTACTTTTCATTGTGATTTTGACTCAATAAGTGGAAGATTAAAAATGTCATTTTTATAATAGTTGAAGGACCCAAAAGTGTCTTTTATGAAAGTCGGAACCCCCTAAATATGAAATTTTTCAAAGACGGATATCAAAAGTGTCTCTAGCGTAATAGACAAGTACTAAAAGTGGCAAAAACTCATGTTAATTTTAATTGGATTACAATTTCTAGTATAATTTGATTTGTTTAAATTAGATCTGATTGCCTTTTTTTAAGGAATTAGATCTGATTGCTAAAATGCTAAGCCCGGTAAAAACAAACTTTTTTGGACCGATGAAGTGATATACTAACGATAAGCCCATAAAAGGAAAACGAATCACATTAAAGGGCAATTCTATTCACAGCCACACTTTTACTAAATACAACCACCTATTATTTATAATTCCAATTATATCCTATTGGGGAATTCTATATGCAGCTCCCATTTGCTCGGTACACACATCATCCGAAAACTATTTTATAATACCCATAATAACCGCATTATTTAACAATCGGTTGAGTGGAATGATATTGAAATTTCGAGTCTAATCTCCTGTCGGCTACCCAAACAATTTCCAAAGTGAGGAAGCATTTAAACGTCGGGAGCAAACAATAGAGTTACTATTAATGTGATGATGATTAAATTTCGAGATATTACCTAAAATGGGACTAAAAAATTTGGAAATTCCAAAATAGGACTTCCATGTTTTTATTCCCAAAATAGGACTAATTACTGTCATGTTTTGGCAGTACCAGACTTCAAACATGGCAGTATTTTCCAAATTTGGCAGTAATTAGTCCTATTTTAGGAATAAAAACATGACAGTCCTATTTTGGAATTTTCAAACTTTTTTAGTCCCATTTCGGGAACTTTCCCTTAAATTTCAGGCGGAGGTGTGAGGTGCTGAGGTCTATGCTCGGGCCGTTGTTGGAGTTGGTTAAAACATCGAATATTATAGAATGGGTGATCCACGGGTGATTGGGGTAACCCTGTGAACATGGTACCAGTAGAAATCCATTGATCAATTTCAGATTGATCAATCCCGACCTCGTTTTGTATGGTGAGACCAAATTTGGATTGTATTTTGAGAATATTTGAAAGAAAATGAGGAAAAAAAATCCAAAGTCTGTAATTGGAGACTTATTGGATGTAATTAAATCCGTGTGTTGTGCTCATTGGCATGGATGGTTATGACACTTCCATTTGCATTTCTGTCATTCTGTTTGTGTCATTTTTGAATTTCTTGTAGTTCTGCCTTACTCGGAAGTCGGAAGCAGGGTAGCCATCCATTCCTGGGTAGATGACTTCCAATAAGAGATATTACCCAAAATGGGACTAAAAAAGTTTGAAAATTCCAAAATAGGACTTCCATGTTTTTATTTCCCAAAATAGGACTAATTACTGTCATGTTTTGGCAGTACCAGACTTCAAACATGGCAGTATTTTCCAAATTTGACAGTAATTAGTCCTATTTTGAGAATAAAAACATGACAGTCCTATTTTGGAATTTTCGAACTTTTTTAGTCCCATTTCGGGAACTTTCCCTTCAAATAATTGTTATTTACTAATAAGGGTAATTTAGACATTTTATTATTTAAGTGGCTGTGAATAGCAATTTATGGGTTGTAAATAGAATTACCCCACATTAAATGATTAAATTAAATTATGCTCGTATACTTTTGAAGTAAAACTGAAACTAGTAGCTCCATCTTCCTGGAAATTTTGGAGGTAAGGGGAAGGAATAATTGGTTTCCTATTCTACTAATTTATCTTAATTTATTAGTTTTAGACTACAAATATCTATGTACTTGTATATACTTCATATTTATAATTATGTTAAATGTAAAAATTATGAGGAAGTATAATTAAATATCATACGACGGTGTTAATAATATGAAATTATGAAGAACTCCCTCCCTATTAAGATTGTCTAATTTCTTTTAGAAAATTTCACTAAGATTATCCCATTTTTTCATTTTTGAAAATCCACTAAGATTATCTTATACTGAATTTGATAAAATTTGTGACTTTAAATCTCTTTTACTTTATTCTTGATTTAACAATTCAATATCAACCACATAAACTCGTTTTTTATTTTAATAATCGCCTTCTTGTCCCAATGTTAGTGGGATGGAAATACGGAGTAGTATATATTCACTGCATTTAATTTGCATATTAATAATAACTCTTCCTCTTTAATCATCTTAAATTACACCCCAAGGAGTAAGGACATTAGTTAGCATTTGACTTTAAAAAGGAACAGTAATAACGGCCGGAAAGTGTCATGTCCTAACTGCATCACGTACGCTAAAACGTGCCCAAAATTGGAGCAATGCATCTGGACCTCTCTGGTCAATGATGGGCCTTGAAACTTGAAAGACCAGACAAAGAATCTTCAGAAAGTACGAAATGAGGGCTTCCTTTCCTTTGGCTAAGAGGACACAATCACCAAGCGTGTCCGGCTTCACCACCAATTCCAGGCCGCGTATTCAGAAGAGGCTGGAGTGCCTTCACCACAATGCCCATGTTTGGCCTAAACTCTGGTTCATATTGCACACACAATGAAGCAACAGCTGCAAACTGCACACCAAACACAAATCAAGCAGCATTCAATCAATTCAGCTATGCCACATTTTTCTGTCCCTTCCTAATTTTAAAGAGAAATTGTCCTCAATAGGAGTAAAAACATTCTGCAATTCCAAAATAGAAATGTCATGTTTTTATTCTCGAAACAATAGTAATTGTTGTCATGCTTTGGTAGCATTAGACTTTAGAAATGGCGGTATTTTTCAAATTTGACAGTAATTACTCCTATTTAAGGAAAAACATAAGTCCTATTTTGGAATTCCAAGACGTTTTTACTCATATTTCAGGAATTTTCCCCTTTTTAACCTTTGGTCTTGTGTTTAACTCGACCGGGCTGTAAGGTGCCTAAGCCAAACCACACTAAATCATCATTCTCTCTGTAAAAGAATTCGGACCACAGGCTGCTGGGATGGACTGCCAGGCCAAACAGGGACAAACAACACTAAAAGATTAAATCCAATTTATTAGCCAGTTCCACTCTATGTCTTGTTAGCCATCACTCTCTCTCTCTCATTTCAACACAATTAACACAATACTAGTCTTTCTCGGTCTGGATAGAGTAAAGGAAAACAAAGCTTTTATGTAAAACATATTACTTTTCCAATTGCCCTGGGGGGATACTCCCCTGCCAGTCTTGCATCCACACATTGTCGAACCTTGTCTTCGCTGAGTTTTGGGGTAGCCTAGCAGATGTCACAAAAAGATTCAGAACGTATAAAACGAATATGTGATCTCAAGATATTTTTAGTCATCAGAGGTATAATACCCATGTAACAAGACTTTGTTGGCCTCGGGGTTGGGTCTGATCAACTGGTTTACGCCCTGTGAGCAGCTCAAGGAGCACAACACCAAAACTATACACATCACACTTTGCATTTAGCTGCCCGGTCATTGCATATCTACCCATTCACAAAACCACAAGTTACAGATGCTTCAACATCTACAGCAATACAAGCAACTACTCACAATGGAGATATATGATGATGATGTGTGCATAAAATAGGCATGAGACCCATATTAGCTTACTCACTCAGGAGCATGATAGCCAAATGTGCCAAGAACACGAGTTGAGTGAAGACGTGCCGCCATTTCAGGAGACTGATTGGATGGATCAAAATCAGCAATTTTAGCTACATAATCATCAAATATTAGTACATTGCTGGATTTGATATCTCGATGCACAAATTCAACTTCAGCCTTTTCATGTAGATATTCAAGGCCTTTAGCTGCTCCTACAGCAATCTTAACTCGCTGTGTCCAGGAAAGCACAGGGCCAGGCTGTGCTCCTTTTACACCCTTCCTCCCTGAAAATATGGAAGTTGAAAGACTAAGGCAAATAGCAATACTTGGAATCTGAAAACATGCCTCAAAGTTTTAGAAGTGAAATTTTCACCTGCTCTATTCTAATAGTCTTACATTCTTTTACAATTAAACAAAGAAAGAGTCAATACTCAATAACAAGGCATGTTTCGTTGTTTAGCATAACCAATCTATAAATATATATTTGATGTTCACTAAAAGGAACACTGCAAATAAATTTAGAAAAACAATCAACTGAACCAGACATGTGTCATTTACCGCTTAGAGCAACAAAAAGTTATTATCCTGAACCAGACATGTGTCATTTACCACTTAGAGCAGCAAAAAGTTATTATCCTGGATAATATATTCAAATGTCAGAAAAAAGATCGATACATACCATGAAGAATATCATGAAGTGATCCATTGGATGCAAATTCATAGGCAAGAACACGTTGTTTCCCATCAATACAATAGCCCAGTAACTCGACAAAATTTTCATGCTTTAACCTTGAAACCAAGGAAACCTGTAAACATTGAATGCTTAGTTGTATTTTCGAGTGAGGCAAAAAAAAAGTGGTTTCCAATATTCAAAAGCACCTCCGCCAAAAATTCATCTTCAGGTTGTTTGCTTGAATCCAAATTTTTAATTGCAGCAGCCCTCCCAGTTTTGAGGTCTCCGTAATACACTCTTCCATATGAACCTTCCCCTATTAAAGTCGCATTCCCAAAATTATCTGTGATCTCCCTAAGTTCATCAATGGGAATTGCGGGGACTGCAATAAGCTTAGGTTTCACAGCTTCAACACGACCAGCTGGTGCCTCTTTGTTGTGATAAGTTCTATCTTTACCTGCAGCAAATTAAAATATCAATCTTGTGTTGAGGTAGAGTACGTAACATCCTCCTGGGCCCTGCTTCCACCTGGGACTCCGGGAATGTTTGGTTTGGAGCAGTTATATTAACCTATAAAACATACTAACATTATTTGTTCAGATATCAATAGACTCAATACCATAAAAATCCCAAGACTAGGAGCTCATATACAATACACATGTACAATGGTACAATAAAATAAAAATATTATTTGAATAAAGGAAAGAAAATAGTACGGAGTGTGTAAAACAAATATCCGTTTCAGCAAAACAATAGCTCTACACTGAGTTTTTCATTATCAGCCAAATCAGCAGGGGCAATGACATATGAAAGTGTTTGGTACACAAAATAGGCTTAGCCAAATCAACCCTACCAAATGAAATAAAAGTATAGAGGAAGCGCTGAAAGGACAGCCAGATTGATAATAAGTTGACATTTTCACAATGAAACTGTTATTGGAGCATATTTAGTCAATAACTCATATCCTGAAGTCACGGACCTAAGGGAGGCTCACCATGGAAAAAAAAGTAGATTCATTTATTTTCCATTTAAGAGTGGTACCATTATTCAAGTCCCACACTAAGTAGTAACGCAATAAGTTGAGCTGACATACGTGTTGATCTTTTCAATGGATGCTGGTCTCCCCCATCAGAAATCGGATTGAAATCAACTCCCTTAAAACAGCTAAAGCAGCTCATAGATTGATCTCCTTAGTTAGACTCTGCAAAAAAACAAAACAAAATAGCTTCATTTAAGATCAAAGTTTCAGTTAGAGTCTAATTTCTAAATTTTCATTCGTCGTAAGGGAAACACAAAAACAAGTAGCAAGAAAATTGCCTTCTATAGAGGAAATGATTTAATCAAATAAAATAGTATAAAAAAGAGGAGCCGGACAGAAAGATGTTTCTCTTGTATCAGTGAACAAATGGCAGACTTCATTGTGCGTCGAAATTGACAGCAAACAGGATAGAAGTTAGAAGATTCAAGGTGTCGACCCCTGACTCAAAAGCTGAATAGTCATAAGATAAGTAGATTAGCACATGGAATGGAGTTATCATCTCCCATGCAATTCTGAAGTGCGTGCATGTGCACATTTTCATTTCCTTCTCTGTAACAGCATTGAAAACAACAATAACATCTCTCTTTGATCTCAAACAGAATGTCTTTTCTTAAATTGGAAACCCATAAGCCTGTTTGAAAATCTTAACTAAATTCCCAGTATCAAGTTCTTCAATGTTTTGGAATCTGATACTTATATCCAAGTATCCAACTAGAAAAAACTACAGTAAGTTTTCCTATACAAAATAGCATTTGACAATTAGATTTGGCAATTGAAACTAGCCATGAGTGTCAAGAAAGTGACTAGATGCCCTAAATTGGGAATGTTTAATCAATGATAGTCTTTGTTCTCTTAGGCTCAAAGGGGCAGACATAATTTCCCTATTCTTTAGTTTTTCATTAGAATAAGTAGAATAAGTAACTTCTGACTTACGTTTTTACTGCTAAGATGGATGTTACCAAAAGCTATGACTTAGAGAAAAATTACCAGTTTCATCCAAATAACCCCTACCAAACAGAACCTTACATAATATGAAGAAGCCCATAACGCCCGTCTCAGGGTATGCCTGATCTTTGTTGGACAAAGTGTACTTTGTTCAACTCTAAAATGAGGTGGGATGAATGGTAAACACGATGGTAAGGCCTGAAAACACTGACTGGGTAAGTGGTAATGAGAATATGAGATGATCCCCACACAATAAACACAAAAAACATAGTGGGCCTGCCTGCCATACGGGATTCGGCAAGTTGGCTTGTGCAATTGCAATTTCGATTGAGTGTGAAATGTACACCCCACTACTAATGGATGAGTGGCATGCAGTTCAGATTCCTGTCTACTTTTAGGGACAACGAGCATAATAACATCATCACATCGAACATCATCAACAATTCAACACAAAAGGAAAATGGACTCACGGATAAAACCTGCTCGGGAAATGTCAGACGACAACTGTGGAATGGTGAAGCCAGCCGGAACCTGGTACAGTGGAGACGAATGCCTTCTTCAACGGACCAAGAGGATTGCTCCAGCCGGAGTGATCGGGGTTTTGATTATTGAAGGACCGAATTTCCAAAGGCGGATATTAATGCGCAAATCAAGCAAGATAATATGAACAGGGCGGGGAATATTTGCAGTAAAAGTCGTGATTAAGGATGTTTTTACTTATTCGTCCCAGACCAGACCAGACCAGACTAGACCAGTCCAGACCAGACCAGACCAGTTCAGACCAGACCAGACCAGACTTGGATAGTTATAAAAATACAAACAAACCAGACCTTACCAGACCAGACCAGTTCAGACCAGACCAGACCAGATCAGACCAGACCAGACCAGACCAGCAAATTACAGTAAAAACATCCTAACTAGCTAATTGTACTCCGTAATGAGTACGGGTAGGAGATTGGGAATAACAGAAAGCAATCAAGGGGATAATTAATAATTTATGACTGAATGATCTTCTGTAAATTATTGAACATTCATTAATGATTTTGACTTCTGTTACACAACAAAAAATAGGTTAAGCGTTTGTTTTTTTCTAGTTGCAAACTTGCAAATTGTAGTGTCATTACGCGACAGTTTTTACACGTAGGTCAGGTTGTTTGCTATATGTGTACAAATAATTTGTCCGGCGTTTAATGAAGAAAATCAATTTTCACACAGACAAAATAAAAAATTTGTCTGTATCACATACATTTTAAAATTCTCGTTTCAAATTGTCTGTATCACAGACATTTTATGAAAATTTCTCTTCTAAAATGTGTGTGATACATACAACTTTTTATTTTTGTCTGTGTGAAAATCGGTTTACTTCATAAAACGCCGATCAAATTGTCTGTACACGGACAATTTGACCGGCATGTACACAAAGCGGGACTCTTTGAACATTGAGTGTACTCGATTCCGAACTGAACTCGAACCGGAATAAAATCGTCAATTTTTGGTTCCAAATTTCGGAGAATTAGAATTGAAAGTCTAAAACCGCACGGTACTAGTTTCAAGAAAAATGCTTGGTGTACGCAAAAGTTGTACACAAAAGTTGTACACTTGTCTGTTCCCTGCAAACAAATTGTCAGTCCGGAGATGAGTTGTTTGTGGAACAGACAATTTGTTTGCGGGGGACAAGCAAGTGTACAACTTTTGTGTACACCAAGCTCCACTCTAGTTTCAAAACTGGCGGTTCATGTTATTTATCAATTTTTGTTTTTTAGAGATTAAAGTTTGGTTGGTTTTTGAAATAAAATTAAAAATAACCAATATGATTATTCAAATAAGTGTTCCCAAAACTACTAGTATAACTAATATTTATCATTATTGTTAATAAACACAATAATAACATACTAAGTAGTTAATATCTAAGTAGTTTTTATTAAGTAGTTATATGATATGACCCTTAAGTAATTTAAACAAATACAAGAGCGGGAGCTGCATCTCAAACGAAGGAAGGAGTACGAGTACTCTTGATGGGCCAGTTGAATAAAAAAAACTATAGTTGGGCCGTATCTACTTATTATTATTACACTCTTTTTCTATGTTTAGACCCATTTGTGTAATTGGGCCGAGACTACTTACTATTTAAATATATGAATGGCAGATAGGGAATAAAACAAGTATTACCCCTTTATCATTTTTTTTCTCTTCCTTACTCTCTCCACACTTTCCTGCTCATTTCTATCTAACTGTACGGACTTCTTCTTCTATCTCCTTCCCAATTTCTTATCTTCTGCACGAACCATAACATTTGGTATCAGAGCTGTTCTGATCCAGGTAGATGGCGGAGGGTACCAGACTGAAGGAATGTCTAGATGGTCAGAAGAGGATCGAGCAGTCCCTTTTAGCTGAAACTCCGAAACGTGAAACTGCTGAACAAAAGCAAGGAGAGATTCAGATGAAAATTCTTAAACAGCTGGATAATATACAGAAGAGGATGGAGGTCATTGAGATTAGATCTGAACCGCATACTTCCACACACTCACCTCATGGTAAGGAACATTCTGGAGGCATTTTCACTGATGAGAATCCCTTTGCTACAGAGCCTTCTATTCTGGGGAAGCCGCCATTCACAATGGACCTGCACAACCATCAACATGATAGATCATACCAAAGATTTAACAACATTGGTAATACAGGTAATCATCAACCACACCTTCCCTTCCCTAAGCTAGATTTCCCCAAGTTTGATGGATCTAATCCACGCGCGTGGACAATCAAATGCCAAGGGTATTTTAAACTGATGCCCCATCTCCCTAAGGATCAGCATGTTACATTAGCTATTATGCACTTTTAAGGAAGAGCATTAGCTTGGTACCAACATCTAGAGAATAATATCACTATGTTAACATGGGACCAGTTCATGGGGGTCATATCATCACGATTTGAGGGAATAAAGGAATCATCAGTCATTGAGGACTTTAACAAACTGGAAATGGGTAATGATTATGAGAGTTATGTGGAAAGATTTGAAGATTTGAAATCTTGTATGTTGTTATTGAACAAAGGGGCATTCACTGAGCAATACTTTATTGCTAGTTTTGTTAGTGGGTTATCTGAAGAATTGAAATCCTTTGTTAAACCGTTTAAGCCTATTGAATTGGCTATTGAATTGGTCAGGCATCAATTTTCAGCATTGGATACCCTTACCAGGAGGATTAAATTGGGGGGGGGGGGAGCAACCTATACTCCACCCAATCCTCTCGGGAGGGGAGAAACATCCATGATTTCCCATAAAGGACTTAACCAAACTCCACCCTTCAAGTTGCTAACACCTGCAGAGATGACAACAAGAAGAGAAAAGAGATTATGTTTTAATTGTGATGAGAAATTCACTCCTAGGCATAGGTGCAAGCAGAGGCATGTCTATGTGTTATTAACAGGGGATGGTCCAGAATTCCCTACCCCGGACACACTGCAAGAAGAGGAAGAGGTGGGCAACTTAGATGAAGTACTACTAACCTTGGGTGCTAATAGCAAGACCAAGGGAACCACCACCATGACAATGTGGGGGAGATCTGGTAAACACAGGCTACACATACTCATTGATTCAGGGGCTTCCTGAGTTTTATCAGCCAGAACACAGTGCAAAAGTTAGGAAGTAAGGAAGTAGAGGCCAAACCCATAAGGGTTACTACTGCAGAGGGCAACAAGATGAACAACATCACTCAGGTGATTGACTTAAAATGGGAGATGCAACAACATACCTTTGGTTATACCTTTAGGGTTCTTGATACCAATGAGTTTGACCTAATCTTGGGTGGAGACTGGCTCAGGGATCTAACCTTAGTAAAGTATGATTATCACAAAATGTTTGTCACTGTGACTTCAAGGGATGCTCAGATTGAATTGCAGTGTGAAGACAGATGCCCTCTAATCACTAGCCATATGCTATACCAAACCATTTGTGAGGAGAAACCAAGTTCAGTGGAAGAGGTCTATTGGGTTAAGCTAAAAGAGCCTGGAATAGAACCACCTGAAGAATTACTGGAACTATTAAGAGAATTTGAAGATGTGTTTGATAAACCTACTACATTACCACCCCTAAGAGGTGTTGAGCACCAAATATTACTAACAACTGGGAGTTTACCTAAACAACAATACCCTTATAGGGTTTCCCACAGCCAGAAGGATGAAATAGAAAAGATAGTTGCAGAACTCCTGGCAACTGGGGAAATTCAACCTAGCAAGAGCCCGTTTTAATCACCCGTGCTTTTGGTGAAAAAGAAAGATGGTAGTTGAAGGATGTGTGTAGACTACAGGTACCTCAAAAACTTAACTGTGACACATGACTACCTCATCCCTGTTATTGATGAGATACTAGATGAGCTTAAGGGAGCCAGATTCTTCTCTAAAATTGATCTGAGGTCAGGATACTTCCAGATACTCATGGCACCTGAACATAGGTACCTGACTGCATTCATAACTCACCATGGGCACTACGAGTTCCTAGTTATGCCCTTTGGGCTCTGTAATGCCCCAACTACATTTCTATCACTAATGAACCAAGTGTTCAAAGATCAGTTGAGAAAAACAGTCCTTATGTTCTTTGATGACATCCTAATATACAACCCTACCTTCCAGCAACATCTACAAGACCTTAAGTTGGCACTAGAGACTTTGAGGAAACATATGAAAAGAAGAGTAAATACATGTTTGGTCAAGAAACAATCTCATATCCAGGACATATCATCTCCCATACTGGGGTGGCTACTAACCCATAAAAAGTTGAAAGTATGCTCAGTTGGCCCACCCCAACTAACCTAAAAGAACTAAGGGGTTCCTAGGACTGACAGGATACTACAGAAAGTTTGTCAAGGGACATGGGATAACCAGCAGGCCATTGACATCCTTATTGAAGAAAGGGGGATTCCATTGGAACT